AACCCCCCAAACCCCCCCCCCCACCCAGCTTGCTTGAAGATTTCGGGGATTGGAAGTCTACACCTCTTAAGGCTGCTGAGGTTGAGAAACACTAGTTCAAGCCATGAAGCTTTCCCATCATTTGCATGCTTGTATTTGGAAAAGGCAAACCTATTAAATTTCTATCAAATGGAGATACCCTTATGAAAAAATGATAGTGACACAATTCAGTTTGTGTGTGTGTATCTTTGCCAGAAAATCCCATTACTGGAAATTGCTGCATTTTTGCTTATTAATACTTCAAATAATTGTATTAAATTAAATTATTAATAATTATCAATACTTCAAATAATTGAATTAAAAATAGAATTAATTACACTAAAGATATCATTTTAGAGTTTAAATTCAGGGAACACTTGGGATGCTCCAATTCCCTTACAAAAATATATCTAAGTACATTCTCGGTCATTGTCTTCATATATTTATTTCATCTAAACTTGTAATCTTTTGTCATGCGCTATGTCATGTGAGCACAGCAAAGCACAATTTAGCCTTGTGTGTTGTGTAAGCCACACCTAGCTGATGTAGCTAGTTTGACCCAGTGTCATGCAATCGAAGAATATGAGTTTAACTGAGTAAGTCATGGTTGCATTAACATGTTATTTGAACATCGACATTGTTTTGAAAGCATGTGAATGCTGTTTGGGGCTGAAGCTAGAAAACTGTTAAATGATCTTTTGAGTAAGTTGATCAGCATCTGACATGGCAGTACTATTCTCTACATAGTAGCAAACAATAGTATTTATGTAAGATAGTTGGGAATCCTGTCTGTTGTGTTTCTGACATAATCTGGACAGTACTAGATTGAAAAAGATCACACTAAAGCTCCATTCTTCAGTTTACTTTCTACCTTCTTACCCAAGTTGTGTTTCGAAGAGCGGACACTTAATATGTCTCTGCGTGCTTGGGCTGCCTAACTTTCAAATGCCATCTCACAGTATGGATTCTCCCTCCAATTCCCAGGCCAAAGGGTTTTGGATGTGGCTGCTCAAGATGGTATCACACCCCTTAATTGTGCTAAGTCCTTGAACTGGCTGGCTCCACACCAATTAGCCTCCCAGCTAGAAAAGTATTTAACAACTTGCATGCTTCAACATCTTAGAAGAGCTTTCTCTAGAGCACATTTTGAATTAGATTCCATGGTAAGATATGGGAGGTTCCATGGAGTTCCATTACAAGAAAGACTGTGTATCTGTGGTGCACCAGTTGCTTATTTGTTGAAGACGTCGCACATATCCTGTTTGATTGCAAATGATATTCTGCAGAAAGGAACATTTACTTAGATCCTTATTTAAAAATTAAAAAACTATTGGGACACCCAGGTGAAACTGTCTTATTTCCTGCAGGGAGCGAACCTGCATATCACTAGCAAGACTGCAATTTTTATATCAAAGGCTGTTTCAAAGAGGATAAACTATCTAGAACAGATTGGGGTTGACTGCAGGGGTGAACATGTCCTATTGTTTTCTCTGTATTGGTTTTATAATTTTTGATATGGTCAGATGACTAATCAATAAAATTAGATCTGAGATCTGGTTCAGATTTACTTCTCTTCCACATCATTCCAACATGCTATCTATGGAACCCATGTATGTGTGCTTATTAAAGATATTCTGGGACATTTTTTTTTTACAAGGAGGTACCACTAGGCATTTTGGCGCAATATGGTTCATGGGGTCACGAAGAGTCGGACACGACTTAACGACTAAACAACAACAACAACCACTAGGCATTTACTGCCTTCTTATTTGACTACAGCAGTGTTTCTCAACCACAGCAACTTTAAGATGTGTGGATTTCAACTCCCAGAATTCCCCAGCCAGCATAAGAAACACTGGACTAAAGAATGCCCAAAACTCCTGTGCAGCTACCCCATTGAAGGAAAATGTGTGACTGTGACATTTCAGAGAGGGCTACCTAACCTCACTCAGGAATTTACTATAAGTTTCCAAGATGCATCAGCTGCTTATATCTGAATGTCACTTCTGGGGAAAAGAGATGGGGGCGTTTATGCTTTGTTCTCGGGATGTTTTGCTTGCTGGGGGATGATCATTTCTTTTACCTTCTGCTATTGCTTGTCTGCTGTTTAAAATTTAATCTGTAGTTTCCCTGGAGCAAGGAAAATTTTGGTTGTGTTGATACAAATCACTAACATGAAACATGGGCATCTAGTCTGTCAGTGTGTAGTATGAAGCTTGTTGATTGTAATCAATAAACCATCATTCAGCTAACAATGGATTGGAACATCTGCAAACTCAGCTTTTCTTTATCCTTATTAAAAACCCAGGGCATGTATATGACCCTTCCCTTCTTTTTTCTTCTTTTAGCATTTGTGTGAGTGTATGAAAAAAAACAAAGCATCTGGTTTTTTTTAAAGAAACAGACAAAAAGCTTATAGCACCTTAAAGCCTAGCAATCATATTATGGCAAGTTTTGTTGGCTAAAACACAGGTACAAAAAGAGCTTTTGTAGGGGTATCACACCCTGGCCATCGCTGAGTAGTTGGCTGATATCTGTACATATATCACTTCCAACAGCCTTGAAGTGTCTTGACTTAGTTTGATCCCATCAGTTGTGTGTGTGCGTGCATGTATACACAGTACATAGACATTGTGTGTGTGTATGGTACCTTTGTTATTTGCAAGCCCTCATGTGAAGCTATACAAGTGAAAAGCAGGATATAAATATATAGAACAAGTAATATTAGGGGGAGATGGGCGGAGATAACTCTAATAAATAAATAAATAAATAAAAATACATACATACATACTAAAAAGTGATGCAATGCAAGTTATCTGTTGACAAGTCAATGTCCCCTAAAATGGAGTGGTGGAGAAGTAAAGAAAGAACATGCAATTATTTCAACACACGCATACCCATTCAGCCCATACAAGTGAGGTCAGATTAAACAGACACTCCAGTGAGCCTTATGGTCTCTGATTCCTAATGGATGCATCAGTCATGTTCATCACACTTTACACATCACAAATATTGATGCTATGTCTATTATTAGTCATTAATTCCGCAGAACTTACAATGAAAGAATGGATTGCAATGATGTTAAAAGACCTTGGAGTTTTTCCCCTTGCGGTAAACAATATTTAAGAACTCATAGCGATGGCAAAGTGGGAGGAGTCTAAACAGCACCCAGGCAGGAAATGGTTCGCCATCCCCCCATCACCTGGGAAAGTAAATTCTTTGATTTCTCGGAAGGCAGCCTAGCTGACATGCTCCAGTTTAGAGCAAACAAAGGAAGAGGAGCCGCTGACAGATCAGTCCTTGGATCTTATTTTTCCACAGCGACGATGCACGTGTGGACTACAAATTGCAACTTCGGGGAGGTTGATTTTAGATCCCCTTGAATCAGAGAAGAGATTAGGACGCCAATTTGACTTCGGCCGTGAAATTAAAGCGTGCAGCACACCGAGCGGTAAGAAAGCAATTGGACCAGGTCTTTCTTTCTCTGCAGTTTTATCCGGGGGGGGGGGGGTTTTAGCAACAGCATTATAAAACTAGCGTGTACGTGGAGCGGGAGATAATGCTAGATTTAATAAGAGGCTTCTGCTTTTTAAAATGTGTTTTAATTTCTAGTCTCAGATCCAGGAATGGAAAACAGTGGCAAAGAAAGATGTGTGGGAAAGACACATATATTCTCTGTCTGCAAGACCGTGTTGCAAATCTCTCTCTGTCCTCTAATTCTTTCTCTTTCGCTCTCTTGACATGGACCACGGTTCGTATTGGCGCCTTTACTGTTCACGCGGGGACTTCAATGGTCCTCTGCTCTATCGCTCCTGCGAGATCCACCCCGCATTTCTCCAGGGAAGCTTTGTGGTAATCTGTCATTTCGTGTGATCCCTCAGGCAGAGTACAGTAACTCTCTTTTTCAGAGCCAGCATCCTTTCTTCTCCCTCGCTCCGTGCAAAAGAATACGACTTTTTTTCTTCAGCGTGGGCTGGCTGTCCAAGGCGTTTGATCCGTTCAGGCAGCGCTACGGTATTATGTAGTCCAAGAACCCGCCGCCCTTTAATGTTGTCCGGAATAACGAAGGTGGGAACCATGAGCCCCAAAGTCCTTGACTCACATCCAGTCTCAGCTACGAATTCATTCAGTAGAGTTACCTAAATAGCCTCGTCTGCAAAACAGAACGTGCTTCTGAACTACTTTAAGAGGGAGTCGTGGTAGTAGGATTCGCTCCTGGGTCAGACTTCTTGGGTCTCACAATCTGCTCCTGCTTTG